GTTGGCTTCCGAGAGTATTCAAACTATCAGTGAACGGCAGCTCACAGGTCCTTTTTTACGGAAAGAGAGCGAAGTGACCTATTTAAGGTAGGCTGTAAGCTGAGTATATTTAAAGGTAGGCTAAGCTTGAGTTAAATATACAAACTAAAAGTCACACTTGTACAGAAAAGCAATGTCATCAGCCAATGGCTGGCCTCGGACGACCTTGGTACCTTGTACCAAATATCCCGAAGTATGACGCGTTATACGTCTGAAGTGTGACGTGTCACACTTCATGTACGCTGCCTAAAACCCGTGACCTCTATCCTGCTTTGCTCTCCTAGCCGACTCCAGTGATGTGAGAGGCGTGACAGGCGTTCCAGGCGTTGACGGAGCTCCAGTCGACGTGTCTGCAGCTCGACGCACTCTGATATTTCTACCAGTGTCGACCGGAACCAACTTGCCGTTCATCCATTCTCGGTGCCAGATATCCCAGCATGTCATAGCTGTACTCCACGGATCTGTCGGCGCGGCTTCATACGCAAGAACATTGGCCGCATGCTGCTGCATTTTTGACAAAAGAACGATGTTGTTGTCGCGCGTTTGTCCGCAACACGGAGAAGCGAGCAGGCTTTGCACGCGCGCAGTCGGTGCTTCGGCTGCGTCGTCGTATTACGCCACTCATCAAGCTGGCGGATAGCGTGAGTAGTTTGCGTACCTCCCGAATTTGGAACGGAAGCTTCCTGTGAGGGTTCGTGTGTACCAAACGTATTGCGTTCATACATGTCGGACGCCTGCAGCTGCGAGAGCTGCAATGCAGCTTCTTCATGTACTTCAGATGCGTCAATGGGCGAGACGACGTCTGCTTGTGGTAGGCTTTGTGGACTATGTAGCCATACACGATTACTAAATCAATTAATCTCAACACCAGCGACTTGTAGTACTTCTTGAACCGCACGGCCCGCTGAATAGAGTACCGCTGCAAACGTAGCTGGTCGTGGACATCCACGCCCCCCCCATGAAGGCGTGGCAGTCCTTCACGACGCGTGGGCAAGGAACTTCGACTTTATCTGCGAATTCTTGGCGAGCAACACGATCCATCTCCAGACCCCCGCCAGTGCACAGGAAGTGAACCGGACGCGCGTCCCACCAGCTAACGGCAGTCATGTTTGGCACTAACTTTGATCTTGAAACTTTGACAGATCCGTGAGCAATAGTAGCAGGTCTAGACTTCTTTTTTTCAATGGCTCCTCTGCAATAGCCCAACCGGTTCGTTATAATAGTCCCAACACAGTAGAATTCCATGAGCAGCAATTGAATTGCTAATGCCACCGGCGTATAGAACCGATCCACTACAACAAGTCTCATTCCATTTATCCAAGAATCTGGCCCAAACACAGCGAGGGGATTGCGGACTACTGCAGCAGGCCCTGACTTTATATATGTATTGTGTGCATCACTGGAGTGCTGTTTCTTACCGCAATAAACCTCGAGCCTGCATAAATGCAGCATACACATAGCCAAATATCCAGGTTTAATGCTACCGTCGATTCTCGTGCGCTTTCTTGCGCTTTTGAATTTGACAGCATGACCCCCGCCCTTTCGGGTACTAGCACATCACAGGAGGGGGCCTTGGAGCAGCGGAATACAGGGGGTTCGAGCCACATCCCTTGGGCAGGTGTGTGACGCGCGTGGGGAGGCGAAGGCGTATTCGCGGGCCCAGGGAGGCCGACGATCCGTGCCGTGTCGTGTGCGCCGTGGAGAGCTTTCCCGTTTGTGGCGTTTTTATAAAAGTGGCTATAGCCTTGAGAATAAATAACCTATCCAATATGCTTCGCAAGCCCAAATATGTCATATAATGATTATCCTAGCCCTTTCGATGGCGAGCTACAAAGCATACATAATGCAAGTCAAAATTCCGGCCTCTAACTGATCTAGGTCGCATTTCGAGCCGTCGGTTTGAATCGCGGCCTCGAATATGACAATACCCAATCGGGGTGAGGTTTCAGCCTTCCTAGAAAGCGCAAAACGCGGGCTTCCAGGGCCTGTCATATTTTGTACTCTTCTTCACCAGTGTTCTCACAGCTCCGCCCTAAAGACACTTCGTGCAAACCGGTCCCAAATTGGTCGTTTCCCTTAGTAGAATACTGTACCAAAGCCCGGGGTTCAGCCCCGGCTCTTTTTCCCTGTTTAAGCCACAAGACATCACAGCAAGAGAGTTGTGTATTTTATCGGTCTTCTGATTGGGCGATCTATTGTCCCAAGAAAGATAGGCTGACGAATCACTGGCGAGCGACTGAAGAAGAAGCCCGAGGTTGCTTCGGTCGATTTATGCATCTCTCTCGGAACCTACACTTCAGCTGCAATAGTGTGAGTTACAGACAGACGTCGAATTCAGAAGAAAAAAATCGACATATCTTTTTATTGATTGGGTTTATATTCGTCTGCAAATTCAGACAATCTTGGGGGAGCTTTTTCCCTTTCAGAGGAGGTTCTGAAATGCAGACATCCCAGTTCAGCAAGACGTCTAGAGAGGACTTTCCTCCGTCTACGCCATCCCTTGTCCCAGTACACGTTGGACTTCTTTCCGCTGTTCTTCGCAGTCGCCATGGTGGCTCGACGTGGAGAAGATTCTGTTTGGTGATCAGCTAACCATCCACTTTATTTGCTATGCAGCCCCCACGCCTACACTAGTACGGACTCGATGATCTCAGTAGCACAGTCAGGCGTCGATGGGGCTGGATTTGGCTGTCGGCGCTTCTTCGTAGAATGAGCGGCACTGGAAGCTTGAACTTGCTGCAGCACCTCGTGAGTATGAAGGCGCCCACCAACAGAGACCCGCTTCCGCTTCTTGTCGTCGTTCTTGCGCGGTGCAGCCGGTAGTTTTAGAATCTCACCCTCAACGACAGCTCGCATTTGTAGTCATGTGGCAAGCTGCACGTGCCGCGGAGCGCCATTGCGGGAAAAGTTTTCCAGGCGTGCGCCCATCTTGACTAGCGAAAGTGGATACAATCCGCAGGCCTTAAAACCCCTCGAGACGTTGCGACCCACCTTCGCTTCTTTCCACGCGAGGCAAGACACCTGGATAGCATCATCTTTGCTGATATTGAAGTAGCCATTGTCGTCTTCTTCTACCAGTTCGCTGATGAGTTTGCGAATCTTGCTCTTAAGTGTTGCGAATACAGCTACATCGAGGGGCTGGAGAAGGTGGGTTGCATCTGGAGGGAGAAAAACCAGCATCACATTCAAATCTGCAGCAGTGTCGACCACTGAAGCTGAGTGGTGAGATCCACACCTGTCCAGAATTAGCAACAGCGGGCGTGGCGTAGAGCTAGGCACTGAGTGTGCGAAAAACTTCATCCATTCTTCAAAGAGCCCGGTGACCATATATTCCCAAGGAGACGTCGAGACAGCCGACCCAGGGAGGCCGCTGTTTTCCAGCAGCCGGGAGGAAACCGTTTTTCCAGGCAGAATAAAAGCTGGTGGCACCACAAACCCACCAGCATTTCCACATGCAACGATAGTAAGATGGAAGTTAGCAGTAGGCTCAGTATTCCACACATTACTTGAACCACGCACCGCAACCACTATTTTGCTCTTGAGCTGCTTTTGAAACGCGGTTTCATCCATATTGAGCACTCGAGAGCTGTCCAATTTCAGTTCTATCATTAGTTTAGCTAGCGTGCTGAAAAGGGTAGTGAGATCTGCAGGGATAACGCAGTTCCGCTTTAAAGAAAGCGATTGGGCTGTTCGTCCTGTAAGCGCAGGAAAGCGAGCCTTGAAGCGCTTGTACCAACCCTCCCCAACATCTTGGCCACAACCCAGCAACGCTATCTCTTGTGCCTTGAATATAATGTCAGAGCGGCCAACCGGACGGCCAACAAGCTGCCGCCCAACAATCCAATCGTAGAGATGCTGCTCCACTTCTTGAGGAAAGAACGTTTTTGGTCAATTTCGAGCAGCGGCCAGGGAGCTCCCCTCCTTGAATGTCTTTATCCACTTCCTGATTGTTCGCTCATGTGCTGCTGAAGACTCAGAGACCGCAACAATCGTCTCGCCTGCTTGTACTTCAGCGATTATAGCTTGCTTTTCTGTTGCAGTGTAGATTTTGACCATCGCGCGCGTTTTGGAAGTGAGCTTTGTTCAAAATTGCCTACCCGCGGTAACCAACCATGTTCCCGCCAAGTTTGGGCTCATCAAATTGTGTAGGTTTCGTACTTTAGCTGATTTCTACGAATTAGAGACAGAGACACAAAACTGCAACTACGCATTGGTCGAAATCACACCGGCTCGGACAA